AGCCTCGTCGGGGCCGCGCCGAGACCCCTGCCCTCCGTCCGGGGTCCGCGGTGCCGCCGCCCCGCACCCGCCAGCGCCCCGCCCGCCGTCAGGCCCGCAGGTGAGAAGAGGTCGGCGGGCGGGGCCGGGGAGGGGGGACGGCTGGAGCCACCGAGTGCCCTTCCTTGGGGCAGAGCCCTCGGTGAGGTCGCCGCTGGGTCAGCCCAGCTCGTGGGGGCACAGCTGTCCCTCGCCCTCCCGCGGCGGCCCACCCCGCACCTGAGACGGGGAGGGGCGGACTGAACCCGGGCGGGGACTCGACTCAGACGCGGCTCCCTGGCCGGTCCTCGGCGTCTCTGCTCTCCTGTTGTCACCCACGTGGAAAGGGCAGGAGTGCTTCACCCACGGAGAACGGGTCCCCTGTCCCTGCTGGCAGCTGGCGGACCTGGGAGACAGGGTCCACGTCAAACGCCTTGAGCCAGCCCAGCCCTGAGGCTCCTGCCTTAGGATCTGAGGCTGTGACTCCAGCCCCCGCGCCTCGCCTCGCCTCCAACCCTGCGTGGTCAGGTGGCCTTCCTGCAGCGCGCAGGCCAGAGCGATCGATCGCAGGCTCCCTGCAGGAGCACCCCCAGGTTTCCACTCCGCCCTGGAGGCCAGTGCTGTTGAAGCCGCCCCCCTTTTCTTCTCTGAGGTCAGGGCCAAGGTGGACAGTAGCTGTCACCCCTGTGTTTATGGGCAGCTGCTGGCTGCATCAGGTCTGTCCTCTCTAATCCCTCCCTGCCCCATTTGTCCTAGGACAGTGATGGCGAACCTTTTGAGCTCGGCGTGTCAGCATTTTGAAAAACCCTAACTTAACTCTGGTGCCGTGTCACATACAGAAATTTTTTGATATTTGCAACCATAGTAAAACAAAGATTTATATTTTTGATATTTATTTTATATATTTAAATGCCATTTAACAAAGAAAAATCAACCAAAAAAATGAGTTCTTGTGTCACCTCTGACACGCGTGTCATAGGTTCACCATCACTGTCCTAGGACCTGCCCTTCCATCTCATGGGGGGGGGGTGTTAAAGGGAGCTGCCATCTATTGAGTGCTTACTGTGCAGACGTGTATTTCTCATGTAATCCTCGCCACAGTCCTCGGCGTCTCTGCTCTCCTGTTGCAGAGGGGTATTATACCCGTCCTGCAGCCTGCAGCGGCTTGTCCCAAGCTCCAGGGATGGAGACATGGATGGCTGGGCTTTGCTAACATGTGCTAAGTGCCCACTATGCACCACTTAGTCCTCTGCTAACGAATGTCACTACATGATGCCTATGAAATGGGCACTGTTATTCTCATTTTACGCAGGGAAGCCTAGACCTCAGAAAGTTTAAGTAACTTGTTCCAAATCTCATAGCGCCACGTGGCAGAGACAGGATTTGAATTCGAGTTTACATGAGCCAGAGGCAGATCCTGGGCGCTCCTCTGCACAGGCGTGGTGCTGTAGCGCACTGCTGTTCAGGGTTCGTGAAGTGATGCAGAGAAAGTGCTTTGTGTCTGGCAAGGCGCAGCCTGGTGGGAGCAGCTCAGTCCGGCCTCTCCTGTTTGGGTCGGACCTGCGGGTGGGCGGGGTGAGGCGCCTCCTTGCTGTGCTGAGCCAGTGCGGCTGACCAGGGCAGGTTCTATCAATCCCTCAGGTGTGATGGGGAGCAGAGCACCCCCTACTCTGGTTCTCCCACCTGTGACTAAGCCTACAGCTAACATGATTTCTATCTCCACATCTAAACAAAGCCACACTGGGTACCTGTTGATGACAGCAGTGGACAATCTGTTAATGTTGGTGAGACCCACTCACTCTTTTTCTTCCTTGGTGGGGCTCACCCAACACCAAACAGTTGGAGGAGTAAAGTGACCAAGGAAGGATTTATGATCAGGAATGTATGTGGCTCAAGACACACGTGGTGATTATGGGCAACAAATTTAACACCCCCGAGCCTCAGTTTCCCCATTGGGTTGTTGTGTGGGTTAAATGAGGTCAACCGTTAAAGTTCAGTCCATAGCACGTAAGTCATACTCGGAGAAGGTTAACTCTTATTACTAAGGACTTCACAGTGGTAAGTTAATGTTTGATATTAGTTTAGCATTTGTGATTTCTGGCCAATAACAGTGATGCTACTGTCAGCAGGAGATCTTTCGTGAAGTTCTGCTTAGAAACGAAAGGATACCGTCAGTCCCCAGGAGTCCATTTGTGCTAGCGTCAGGTTGCAGGATGAATCACACGGGGTCAGCTCTGAGTTTGGACTGGTCAGCACCCTCCTGTACTTAACCTTACACTGGGCACAGCTAGAAATCGGACGGTCACAATTTTACTCCCCCACATTCCCGGATGAGACCAGAGGTGCGTCTCCCTGTACCGTTCCTGGGCCTGGGAGGCTTGAGGTGGATTGGATGTCAGGAGCAAAGCCCTGGACCCGCCCTCCCTCCACAGTGTTTCCAAGACCTTGACTTTCATATTTAGCCTGTGTTTCTTTCTTCTCCCGTAAAGGGAGTGGGAGGGGGGAGGTCCCTGGATGGGAGTGAGAGTCCTGTCCTCTGCACCCCACTCCCACGCACCAGCAGGTCCTATGAAATGAAAGCATGGAGACGTCTTCTGTGGTGTAGGGCTTTATGGTACCCACTGATTCGAATTCCCTGGGGGACTTTTTTAAAATGCATGTTTCTTGCCTTGATGGGGTGGCTCAGGTGGTTGGAGCATCATCCCGTACACCAAAAAGGTTGTGAGTTTGATTTCCGGTCAGGGCACATATCTAGGTTGCATACGTGGTTGGGGCGCATATGGTAGGTAGCCGATCAATGTTTCTCTCTCCCCCACTCTCTCTTTAATAAATAAAAATATATCCTGGGGTGAGGATTAAAAAAATAAAACCATGTTTCTTGCTGATCCTAGATTCTGACCAAATCAGAATCTGGAGTGGGGGTGAGACCAAAGAATGTACGTTTCTAACCAAGCCCTTCAGGTGATTCTGACGCCGAATAAAGTAGGTGAGAGGGTGCCCTGGGGCATGGTCAGAAAAGTGGAGTATGGGTAAAGGATCCTAGGAGGATGCCAGCATTATCCTCATTGTTTTCCACTTTTTCCTTCCTGCCCCATACCCTTTCCTTAGCTGCTTTCTGGACAAGCCAAGGCTACTGCCAAGGATGGCTTCCGGCCTCTACCCCAGTGGACAAATTCAGCTTGTCTGGGGCTCCCCCTCAGCCTCCAGCCCCACTGCGGAGTGCCTGCTGGAGTCCTCACTGCCTGCCAGGAGGGGCAAGAGGCAGGAGGTCAGGCAGAGGCTGGGGACACAGCAGCGGCAGCCCAGGGCTCCATTTCCTCCCCCAGCTCTGGGCCTCTGGGGCAGAGGAAGCCCAGGCAGGAAGGCAGAGCTGCCACCAGCAGAGAGGCATACAAAGCTCCCCCCACCCCCAGCCATCCTGCCCCAGAGCCTTAGCATCTTGTGTCTTCATCTGGCACCACTCTTAGGCCATGGCCTTCTGAGCCTCTGTGGCCATAGTCAGCCTCACCCTGTCGGAAGACACTCCCGCCCCTCGCGTTAGTGGCCCCTATCTGGGGATCCAGTCCACAGGCAAACCCCTGCTTATTTGCCACCTTTCAGAAAGTCCTTCTTACTGTCTGACCTCAGTCCTTCTTGCTGCAGCTCTGGCCCTTATCTTCTTGTTCTAAGCCTTTAAGAAATGAAGAAGGGGGTAGTTTGAAGCACTAGTTGGTTTGGGACCAGGTTTGGGGACTGTCATAGACCAGAATCACTCCCCTTAACCCTCTCCATCTAACTTCTGGAAAAGGTCAACCTTAGCCAGCCATGGAAGGTCAAACATTCAGTGTCTAAGTGTGTTTCACTTCCCTCCTCACATCATTGGCCCTGCCCCACCCCTTCCAGGACAGCAGGGAGAGAGGAGGGAGCCCGGGGATGGCGCACAGAGGGCCTCTGACACTCTGGCTACAGGAGGCTCCTTTCACCTAGTGAGCCAGCACTGTGGGAGCTTGGTGTGGTGGCTACAGCCCCGAGGGCTCAGACACGGGCTGCCTCCTGGATTGGGAGACAGAGGAAAGAGCACTGGACTGGGAGTCTGGACACGGGTTGTGCTCCTGGTCCGGCCACTGAATCCTGTCTGGACTTGGACAAGTCTCTTCCCCTGTCTGAGCCGTAATCCTGTCATCTCTAACATCAGAGCTGGGCTTTGTGAGTCACTAGGTGTCCCCTCGGATTCGGCTTCGGTCACAGGGCTGTTCCAGCCGCCGGTGGCTTCCCCAGACCCCGTGCCGCTCCGGCCTGCCCTGGGAATGTGTCCTGACCTCCATGCTGTGCGTGACTCCTGCCTGTTCTATCCAGACCCCAATCTAAACAATCTTGATTCCTGTTCCCAGCTTGGCGGGACCCTGAATGGCAGGAAGTGAAGACAGGAGCCTGTTTATGTTTGAGGCAGCCAGGGCTGGGGAGGGGGGGGCACTGGGAAATGGGTGGGCAGGGGGGAGGCTGGAAGGGGATGGGCAAGAGGCAGAGGGTAGAAGGGGGTGCTGCTGAAGAGAGGGTCCTTCACCCCAGCCCCGAGCCCTCTGTGCCCTCCAGTTGTAGCTCAGCAGCAGGGTTATGGGGCTGGGAGTCTCCCCAAGCTCTCAGTCACTTAAACATGGCTCCCCACCCTTTACCCCTAACAGGATGGTTTCCATGGGGAAGTGAACCAGGACTTCCCCTGCAGGCCCCACCCCAAAGCCAGGCGCAGTGGAGTCGGGAGGAGGCCTGCCTGCCCACCCCCCCGAAACACTCCCAGTGATTTCCTCTGGGTGGGAGGGACCCACGGTCAGTGGCTGAAAACTCTGAGGGGATCACATTTCACAGGTCTTACTGCACCCCCTCTCCTGTGCCTCTCTCCAGGACCATGAGCTGGGACCCCCCCAGGAGATGCCTTCTGATGCTACTGATGGCTTTCAACCTGACCCAGGGTGAGTCCTGTAGGGAACAGGGGCTTGAATGGAGAAAGGGGCTCAGCTCTTGCTGGGCTGTTTGAGGAGGTAGGGAGAAGGGACTTTGGAGCTTGGCTGGAGGGCAGGAGACAGGCTACCCCAGCCCTCTTCTGCTCTAGCTGGAGGGTGCAGAGTGTGTGGGGGGGTGCAGAGAGTGGGGATGTTGGCAGGGAGGGCCTGGAAGAGTCCTCAGGATTGGGGCTGGGGGCCAGGGCTGGGCCTGGAACTGGGGAGGAGGCGTTGGGGTCAGGGCCTGCTTCTCATCGTCTCAGCTGCCCCCTGGAGGGAAGGATAATCTGAGGGTGGAACTCGGGGACCAAGGCCTCAAGGGGTTTGTCTGGAAGGTCAGAGGGGAGAGAGCAGTGGGTGTTGGGCTCAGCCTGGGGAACTGGGCTCAGGGTGACTGAGCTTCTGCTGTGTCTCCCAGGTGACCCTGTGAAGCCCTCTCGGGGTTCGCTGTTGACCTGCACGTGTAAGGGCCCACGATGCAGGGCGCCTACCTGCCAGGGGACCTGGTGCACTGTAGTGCTGGTGCGGGAGGAGGGCAGGCACCCCCAGGAACATCGGGGCTGTGGGAACTTGCACCCAGAGCTCTGCTGGGCACGCCCCACTGATGTCGTCAACCACTACTGCTGCTACAGCTCCCTCTGCAACCACAACGTGTCCCTGGAGCTGGAGGGTATGTCTGCTGCCTCAGCACCACCTACCCCACCTCTCAGACCCTGCCCTCTCACCCTGCTTTCCTCTCGTGCCTGCCCGGAGGGTGGGGAGGCAGGACCCAGGGACCTAATGGCAGTGGCAAGGCGCGGGAGGGTCTCAGTGTCCTCTCTCTGGCAGCCTACCCAACCCCGGAGCAGCCGCAAGGAGACAGCCAGCTGCCTCTGATCCTGGGCCCTGTGCTGGCCTTGCTGGCCCTGGTGATCCTAGGTGCCCTGGGCCTGTGGCATGTCCGGCGGAGGCAGGAGAAACATCAGGGCCTGCACAGCGAGCTGGGCGAATCCAGACTCATCCTGAAGGCATCCGAGCAGGGGGACAGCATGTTGGGGGTATGAGCATGGGGAACATGGGACGCGGGGGGAGCGGGGAGGAATAGGCAGAAGCCACAGAATCAGAGGGATGCAGTGACAGGTAGCCGAGAAGAGCACAATCACAGACACTCAGATGCCCGTGGGTGGGGAGCTGGGTGAGGGAGGAGCATGCAGCCACAGTAGCAGGGGCCAGGTGGGGAGAGAGAAGGGGGCTGGGTGAGGGACAGCTCTCAGTGGTCTCTTTGTGCCTTCAGGACTTCCTGGACAGTGACTGCACAACGGGCAGTGGCTCGGGGCTCCCCTTCCTGGTGCAGAGGACGGTGGCACGGCAGGTTGCCCTGGTGGAGTGTGTGGGTGAGCAGTGGGTGAGCCTGGGGGATGGGGACCAAGGGCTCCCATGAACTTGGAAGGGTAAGAGAGCTCTGGGCCTCTGGAGTCACAGACGGGGCCAGGCCTGGCTCAGATGGAATTCTCCTGGGCACGGAGTGGGTGGAGACCGGTCAGGGCTAGGTCCTTCTGCAGAAGCCAGTAGGGAACAAGAGGCAGGTGGGGGTGGCCTGCGAGTGGGGTGGGGGTCGGCATTAGGTTAAGCAGAAGTGTCAGGGGTTCTGCAGATGGGTCAGTGCAGCTGGGGACCACTGTGCCCAGGGGCTTGTGTGACCTTCTCTCCCCTCCACCCCCCTGCCATTGGATCAGGAAAGGGCCGCTATGGCGAGGTGTGGCGAGGCCTGTGGCATGGTGAGAGTGTGGCGGTCAAGATATTCTCCTCGAGGGATGAACAGTCCTGGTTCCGGGAGACTGAGATCTACAACACAGTGTTGCTCAGACACGACAACATCCTAGGCAAGCCGGGTGGGGGTGGGGGTGAGGGTTGGGGTCGGGGTAGAGGTGGGGGTGGGGGTGGGGGAACTATGCCAGGCCCCGGCTTTCATCCCCTGCACTCAAGGCTGGAGTCCCCATCCTCTGGTCACTGACCCCACCCTGAAGGACTCCCAGCCCGGCCTCAGCCCCAACCAACCTCTGACTCCGGCTTCGTCTCTGCCCTAAGCCAGGGCAGCCTGCACCCCAGCCCCAGTCTGCCCTGACTCAGTCCATCCTGTGCCTCCAGCCCTGCCCCCGCCCAGTCCAGACTCCCTCATCGCTAAACCCTTGGCTGAGCCACCTGACCCTCTGCCCATAGGCTTTATAGCCTCGGACATGACTTCCCGCAACTCGAGCACGCAGCTGTGGCTCATCACCCACTACCACGAGCATGGCTCGCTCTACGACTTTCTGCAGAGGCAGACGCTGGAGCCGCGCCTGGCCCTGAGGCTGGCCGTGTCCGCGGCCTGCGCCCTGGCGCACCTGCACGTGGAGATCTTCGGCACTCAGGGCAAACCGGCCATCGCCCACCGCGACCTCAAGAGCCGCAACGTGCTAGTCAAGAGCAACCTGCAGTGCTGCATCGCAGACCTGGGTGAGCTGCGGGGAGGGGGGCGGGGGGATAAGATGAGCCATTCCAAGGAGCGGGCGGCCCCTTCGCAGACCGTACCTTCCGCTCTCGCCGGGTGCAGTGGGTGCACCGGTAACTAAGGAGTCCGTGTACTGGGCCTGGTGACTCCGTGATTCTAATCGCCGCTTACACCCTCAAGAGGACGATGGAGGGGGGAGTGGCGAACGGAAGAGCCCCACAGGTTGCCTAACATTTTTTTGAAGCTTAAACTCCTTCCACCACCCGACCCCACCCCGGGCTCCAGGAGTTGGGAGAAAGGAGCAGGGAGCCAGGAACCGGGTTATCCTCCGGGCTTCACTGACCACATCGCTCCTACTCATGGGCCTTGGGGTCCTGCTCTGTGCAATGGGCGTAATAATGCCTGCCTTGCCCACTCACATGTCGCTGGGTTCTTGGGCACCCGGAGGGCGCTACACAAGTAAACGAAAGGGAGCCGGTTGTTCTCCCAGCCCCCCTCAGAGCAGGTCTCCGTTTGCCTGCAACCCCACCCTGCCCCCTGGACCGCAGCTTCTGGGGCCACCCTGTCTGTGGGCTGGGGTGAGCAGCAGAAGTGACAGCCCTGGTACCCACAGGCCTGGCTGTGATGCACTCTCAGGGTAGCGATTATCTGGACATCGGCAACAACCCGCGAGTGGGCACCAAGCGGTACATGGCCCCCGAGGTGCTGGATGAGCAGATCCGCACTGACTGCTTCGAGTCCTACAAGTGGACGGACATCTGGGCCTTCGGCCTGGTGCTGTGGGAGATCACCCGCCGGACCATCGTCAATGGTGAGGGCCCGCCCTGCACAGGGTGAGGCGGGGGGAGGGGGCAAGTGGAGAGACAGGCAGGAGATGGGGGCTTCCTGGCGTGGCCGGTGCCTGTGGCCCGAGGGGCTTGTGGCCACACTGCCTGTATCCCGTTCATTGCTACTCACCAGCTGGTTCAGCTGAGCCACCTTTTAAGGTTCATCTGAGTCTGCGAGTCTGTGATTCTGGCTGTGAAATCTTGGGTAAGTGATAATAACAGGAATATTAATAGCAGCTAACATTTATTGAGCTTAAAGATGTGCCAGATGCCATGTGATACACATGTATTGTCTTATTTGATCGTCCCTGTTGGCAGGAAGCTGGTATCGCTTCAGTAGTTAAGAGCGTGGGTTGGGAATCAGACTGCCTAGGTTCAATTCCTGATTTTGCCACTGACCATCGTCATGTCACCTAACCTCTCTGTGCTCAGTTTCCTCATTTGTAAAGTGAGAATGAAAATAGTTTCCAATTGTTGAGATAATTCAAATGAAGTATTTAGGACAGATCTGGGGCTCAGTAAATATTAGTAGCAATTATTGTTGTCATAATGAATCCCTGACACAGTATCATCCCCATTTTACAGATGAGGGGACTGAGGCACAGAACTACAGCTGGTTAGATGCAGCACCAGGGTCTGAAACCAGGCACTCTGACTGTAGGGCCAGTGTTGTTTATCACTGTGCTCCTTAAACCTCTCTGGTCCTTGGTTTCCTTGACCACAAAACATGCGAGATACAATAGTGCCTGCACTGCCTGCTTATTGCTTCCTCTTGTTACTGTAAGTGCCACAGGGGACTCAGATTTAGAGTGACTTGGAGCAGGCAGAGGGACCTCATCCCTGCTGGCCCCATGCCATGGGCAGCCCTGTGGCCAGTGCCTTCCCAGTCCTGGGGTGCATGGATGATGGGTGGTGTCTGGACTGGGTGGAGAGGCTGGTCAGTCAGTGTGGAGGCTGCCCATGGGGAGGGGCTGCCAGGAGTCCTGACAGTTTGGAGACAACCCTCAGGATATGACTGGAGCTCTGTTCCTTGGGGAGAGGGACATTCTCATTTCCTGAGCACCTGTGAGGGGCCAGCTCCATGCCGGCTTCGTTTGCTCTCAGCAGTCACTGCTGGGTGGAAGCTGAGGTCTAACCAGTCCCTCTGGGAGAACCAAGGGGCTCAGGTTCCTGCCCCTTCAGCCATGAGCTTTTGGAGTCAGCTCTAGGGGCTGGGGTCAGGGAAGGGGGCACCTTGACGGAGCTGAGGCCCCTTGGACCAGGCTGCCGGCGGGAAAGGAAGGCTGGACCAGCCAGGGCCGAGGGGAGGCTGACTGCAGGCTCCTGGGCGAGGGAATCAGCCCCACACAGATTCGTGGCGCATTATAAACACTGTAATCTGGTGTCAGCCCCGGCACTGATTAAAGGCCCATTAGACACGCTCAGGCCTCTGTGCAGCACTGATTAGGGCGCGCGCGGCTCGGGGGCTGGCCTGGAAGCCCGCCATGGGGAGAACAGCTGGCGCAGGCTCTCCGGGGCTGTGGCTGTGGCTGTGTGGCCCTGGTCCACGGCCGGCCTGGGAAGCAGGGTGGGGCGCGGGGCACTTTTTCCGGGCCTGGCCTCTCCTGCCTGGGCCGTCTGCAGCTCCGCAGGCATCATGTTCAGAAAGCTCCTGCTAAGGACTGTGCACTTGGTATAGGACAGTGATGGCGAACCTTTTGAGCTCGGCGTGTCAGCATTTTGAAAAACCCTAACTTAACTCTGGTGCCGTGTCACATATAGAAATTTTTTGATATTTGCAACCATAAGTAAAACAAAGACTTATGTTTTTGATATTTATTTTATATATTTAAATGCCATTTAACAAAGAAAAAATCAACCAAAAAAATGAGTTCACGTGTCACCTCTGACACGCGTGTCATAGGTTCGCCATCACTGGTCTAGGAGGTGCTGCTGGCTGAGGGGGTGCCATCCCTGAGAGGGGTGGGTGTTATTTGGACTTGGGTAAAAATTCCTTTCTTTTAAGAGAGACGTTTTCTCCCCCTTCTCCTGGTTCCACATCCTCACCCAACAATCAACCAGCTACCTTCCCTTTAGTGTAGCATGGAGGTCAGGAGCATGGCCTTTGGTTAGATTTTCTGGGCTTAAGTCCTAACTCTCACTTATTACCTATGCATTTAGGTAAGCTCCTTAACCACTCTGGCCTTAATTTCATGGCTTATAGAGGGGGGCTCCCATAACATTACGTACTTCCTAGCGTTATTGTGAGGATTTAATGCAATGCAGTTAGGACAGTAAACGTGGGAATTATGGGCATCTGTGATAGTTGGGACCTGGGAGCAGTGCCCAGGCCTGGGTAGGAAGCAGCTATGGAAAGGCTGGAACAAGATCTGGCCTAGGGATCCAATGAGAGGAGTTGAAGTCTTGGCTCTGCCATGACTAGCTGTGTAACCTTGGCCTCCACTTCTCCGAGCATTAGTTTCTTCATCACACAGGTAATAATAGTACCCACTGCATAAGATTATTGTAAAGACAGGATAATGCATATAAAGTATTTATAGCACAATGCCTGGCACATGGTAAGTGCAAAATAAATGGTAGTAGTAATTATTATTTATAAATATATTTATAACATTATAGTGTCCCTCTAAAGGGTACCGTGGTCAGACAACTGGTATCTTGGCCCCTGGACAGAGGGAGGGCAAGGCTCTCCTCTAGGTAGTATTGGGCCTTCTTGGGGTCCTGAGTGATTGCCCTGTCCCCCCTCACCCCCGGTTCCCAGGCATTGTGGAGGACTATAAGCCACCCTTCTATGACGTGGTGCCCAATGATCCCAGCTTTGAGGACATGAAGAAGGTGGTGTGTGTTGACCAGCAGACCCCCACCATCCACAACAGGCTGGCTGCAGATCCGGTGAGGCCCGGCGGGGCTGGGATGGCGTGGGGTGGTGGCTCACAGCTGGAATTTCTGGGCCCAGGAACTTGTGTCTGAGGCCTCAGCTTCCCCGGGATAGATTCTAGGGGGCAGATCCCAGGGTCCTCCCTGGCCACACCCTCCCATCTCTCTGGCCCGTGCACCCCACAGGGACTCTAGTTATTCTGGGATTTTCAGAACCTTCACCTTGCTGGGGAAATCAGAGGTTCTCTGCTACATTTCTTACTATGAAGTTTTTGCTGTTTGTTTTTATCTTTTCTCAAAATACTTCACATACTTTTGTAATACACATACTCACTTGTATATAAACATATATAGGCACGCACAGGCTTCTACTTAAATATTCACTCACAGATACATACACGTGCAAGTATGTGCCAGAATGCTGACCCTGTGAAGACAAAGAGCCTGTCTCCTTTGTAACCCTGATCTCCCCATTACCTATGACAGTGCCTGGCCCACAGCTGGTGCTCAGTGAATGTTTATTAAAAGAATGAGTAAATGTACACACATACATACATGTATGTATACATAGACACATGTACATTTTTATACAACATACATATCCACAAAAAGCCACACATGCATTCAGATGTACACACACATACAATCCCTCTTAAGAACCAGCTTGAGGGGGTTAAATCTGAGCTTCCTGGGTGGGTTCCTCCCTGGACATGTGCATTTGGGGGGCAGTGCTCACCACCCATTCTTCCAGTGTTCACTGGGCCCAGCCAGGGTTGGTGGGGCTGGGAGACACAGCCCTCAGCACTGGGGTCTGATGGGGGCGCAGGAACCCCGAGACTGACATATCTCCCCTTTCTTGGGTCTCGGTGGCAGTAGAGGGTGGGGGAAGGTGCTCCACAGACCCTACTCGCCAAGGGGGACTGAGTGCTCCTGAAGATGAGTTACATCTCCGTCCTGCCTGCCTTTCTCCATTCTCATCCCATTCTTCCTCTTCCATTTTTCATCTTACTCTTTTCGTCCCTGCCTGGATCCCTCCATCCCCCCCTTACCGCTCCTGTCTTTCCTTCCGCCTCCTTCTCACTCTCTCATCGCCCCTCTTCTCGTCCTTTGTCTCCCGATTGTGTCTCCCCATTATGGGGCCATTCTCCTCGCCTCCTCCTTTCCATCTTCCCTGACCCATGTCTCTGCTTCTCTCCCTCCCCCCAGGTCCTCTCAGGGGTGACTCAGATGATTCGGGAGTGCTGGTATCCCAACCCCTCCGCCCGCCTCACTGCTCTGCGGATCAAGAAGACACTACAGAAACTCAGCAACAGCTTCGAGAAGCCCAAAGTGATCGACTAGCCACAGGCTGACACCTGACTCCCCTCAGCCTGCAGTGTGTGTGGGGGTGGGCGGTAAATGGTGGTCTGTCTGGGTGGAGGTAGTGTGTGTGTGCTGGAGAGGGGGTGCCCCTCTAGGGGCAGCTGTGCCTGCCCAGCTCTGCCCCCAACCCATCCAGCCAAAAATACAGCTGGGCTGAAACCCGATCTCCCCACTGTCTGGCCTGCTCAGAGCAGCAGGCTCCCTGACGCCTGGCTCTGTCCCCACCTCCATGCCCTGGGCGCACTCCCTACCACCCAGGACAGAGTGCAAAGGAGGCCCCAGTGCCAGGATGGCCAAGCCAGGGAATCCCAGTCTCTTGGGCCCAGAGCCTGGTCCTGCACTTTACTCCCTGCCCTCGGTCAACCCCCCTGCCCTCCCAGAGCTGCCACGGGGCACAGGGCCCCGTCCAGCCTTCCGTAGACACCCTGCCCTGCCAGGCCCTCGCCTCTGGCCAAGCCCCAGACACCCATGAGTTTGTATCTTAGCTCCATGATGCCTTGGGCCTCTGTCTCCTGGACAAGATCCCTGCTAGCTGCCTACCAGCTGCCCGAGAGAGCTGGGGCCTATCCTGGGCCCCTCCTCTATCCCCATCCTAGCTGACCTATTGGGGCATTAAAACCAAGGAGCCCTGCTGTGGGTGTGGCAGTGTCATAGGCCGTTGGAGAAGTGGCAGGTCAGGTGGGTAAGGCCCAGGACTTTCAGAATGACTGAGAGACACGGAGGCCACGCATGGCTGGGGAAGGGCCCAGATGGGAGCCGGAGACCCAGGCTCTGGTCCCGGATGCTTGCTGAGTGACAAGAATGAGCCTTCACTGTCCCAGCACCTGGTTCTTATCTGCACATTGAAAGAGCTGGTCCTGACGTCCTCTGGGGCTTTTCAGCTCTAATTTTCTTCCCAAGGCCATCCTGTTCAAACTCCGTTCCTAGTGCCTTCTACTTATGCCCCAGCCCCTAGGGAGGCTACCCTAGGCAGGCTATTTGCCCCAAGATGGGGCTGTGAAAATAACCTTATCTGAGGCCAGGTGTGGCTAGGATGCCTCCTAGTCTAATTCTCTGGGCTCCAGCTCCTGCCAGTGGCCATCCTTGGGCTCAGACAGTCCCTGGCCTTTTGGTAGGCAAGCCAGCCTTAGCCCCCTCTGTGGCTTTGCCTTCTCTACCCAGAGCTGAGAGGGGTGAGGCTGGCTTCCTGCAGGGCCTCCAAGGCTCAGAAGAAATCTGACTCCAGCCAATAAGCCTCTAGCACCCAGGTTCCTGCTCCCCACTGCCCCTTGGGGCCTGGGCCACACCCCAGAAAGTGTGTGCCTAGAAAGAACCTGATGGTTGTCGAGAAACACAGGGAAACTTTGGTGTTTGGAAGTCAAGGGTGTGTGTCCCTGCACTGAGGAGGTTACCCTAGGCAGGTGGATGGGCTGGGGGATTGTGGGGGCGGGGGTGGGGCTCATGCTAGGGACAGGACAGCCCCAAATTTGGGAAGACCTGAGCTTACAGCCCCCAGCCCTTGGGGCAGGGGGAGAGGAACCCTCCGTTCCTACAGGAGGGGAAGAAAACAGCCTCCTGCTGTAAATGACCCAGCGCAACCTCCCAGGCCAGCCCCTTCCACCATCACCCAGGGCACTTTCCCAGGCCTGCTCCCAGCATTGTGCAAGGTCCTGGGGGAGAACCAGGAAGTGAAACTGGGTGAAAACAGAAAGCTAGATGGACCTGATGGGTTCCCAGATCATCACGGGGCAGCTTGCTTCGTGTCTCCTCATCGCTGGAACCCACCCAGCCCGGGAATCAGTCCTGCCCTGAAAGATTCTCTCTCGTGAATTTAGGGACCAAAAGGCGCCTTCGGAGACTCCACAGCCAGAAACTGAAGGCAGCAGCTCCTCACAGCCTAGAAAATCCCTGAGAGGAGAAGGTCTGAGGCAGGAGGTGGAGTGACAGGGGGAGGGTTGAGAAAAAGGGGCCAGGCTGGGAAGTGAGCACTGGTGAGCTGTGTGCATAATGCTTCTGCCTGAGAGCGGGAAGGTGGGCCAGGTCAAAATTAGTCTCCTACCTGGAGATATTGTTTGTGAGAGCACTTAGCTGGTGCTTAGCACATAGTAGGTCCTCAATAAAACCGTGGTTGAATCCTGAGCTCCAGCGGAGTCTTCCTAGGCCAGTGCTTTTGCAGTGGCCAGCCTCAGAGGGAACCTGAGGGGATGGGGAGGGAGAAGGCCCCAGGGTATCATGCCGGGACTTAGCCCTTAATTGACAGCTCATCATTCGCTCAGGCACCCCACGCGCACCCCACGCGCCCCCTCCCCCACCCAACCCGTCCAGGGCCCCAGATTTCTGTTCAGACCCTGGGCTCGGTTCAGGCTGCTGGCGGCGCCGGCCACACCGCCCTCTGCTGGCCTCAGGGCTGCCCAGCGGCCGCCGCCCTCCCGCCCCAGCACGGATCCGGATCGGAGGGCTTTTCCCCGGGGATCTCCTCGCCCCGCCCCGGCGCCGGCGGGGGTGAGCTCCCGGTGCTACTGTTTTGCAGGTACTGTCCCCCGCAAACCACACCTCGAAGGAACTTTCCGCGTCCTCACTCAGAGGCGGCTGGACCTGCCTGCCTGAATTCTCTGTTTTCAATTCCCTCTTCAAATGGGTCTCCACCTTGCCTGGAATGTACAGAAAGGGCACCCCAATTCCTTTTACCACAGAGGTCTCCCCTACTCCTGCAGCCCCCCCCCCCCAGTGGGCCTCGTGCCTGGAGCATGTGTATGTGGAGTCCAAACAACATACAGTGCGTACCCTCCTTCCCAGGGCACCTCCCAGACCGGCTCTGGGGAAGTGAGGGTATTCCTGGCATCCGACAAGGGCAGCCTTCCCCCCCCCCCGCCCCCCCCGCCCCCTCTCCCCCCCCCATCCTTACCTCCCCACCTGATGTCCACACTGGTTGCAGAGTGGGAAGAAAGGCAGGAGGAAAACTGCAGAGAGGAGTTACCAGAAGTCTGGCTGGGATCTGGGAAAGGAGATTGGCTCATCGCCCTCCAGGGTTAGAAGAGTTCTTGGGGGGTCACCTGTGCGAGCCCCGTCTCTGAGTGGAGCCTCAGGGAACCTGTCTGCCTTTAAAAGAAAGAAAACCGTTCATTTCTTTGCAGTTTTGCCCTGTTTTCCTGGGAGTCCCAGGTTCCAATGTTCTCACCTCTACAAAGAGGGAGGGGATCACCTGTGGGGACCCTCCCTAAGGGATGATGAGTGTCTGTAACATGCCCAAGTGGGGGTGACGGTGGTCCCTGGAGCATGAGCTTTGACGTTGGGGACCACCCCGGCCCCCTCGCAGTACCCAGGCCCTCAAGGTCACTTTCTCCCTCAGTCCTGCCTCACATCAGCCTTCAAGAAGCATGTTCTGCTTCCCCCATATCCTTACTCACATCAAGATGATCAGACCCAGAGATGGCAAAGGCCTCATGCCTAAAAGCCCGAGCCCTGGGAGGGGCGTGGCGGGGTGCATGTCCCGAGTCCAGTCTCCCAGGGCGGGACTGATGCTAGCTGCGCAGTCGTCGCTCTGGGTGGGCGACTCTTGGAAGGAGCTGCTTCCATCAGGGCCACATTCAGTTTGCTAGAAATAGAGACAGAGGGTTTCTCGACTTTGCATATGATTTGCATAATGTCGTAGACACAGTCTATTTTCAGGCAGTTTCCAGGTTAAAGTGTTGTCGCTGCTGCCCTGCAGGGTGTCACGTCTGGATGAGTCTCTTCTCTGTTCTTCCTCACCCACCCACTCCTACTGACCTAGATCCCCGCTGCAGGAGCCAGTGGTAGGGTGAGGGGAGAGTGGGTTGTCCAGGGAGACACGGGGACAGGGCAAGAGGCACACTGGAATTTCCTTTATTACCGCCATCACCGAAGGCAGAATGTGGCTGCTCAGGGCAACTGGTAGGCAGAGGGCAGCGAGGAGCCAGCCACAAGGTGGCCCATCCTCTGTTCTACACAAACCTTTCCCACCTCTCCTGCTAGGAGAACAGCCAGTTCCCATACAGAGACGTCTAGATAAACCTGTTCCTATCCGCCACCCATAAGGCTTTGCTTGGCCCAGACATCCCTCGTGGGCATTTATTTTCAGCACTAACATTTGACTTTAATCTCATGGGAAATCTGACCCCTAGTCCCTCCCTCTCCTGGGAACCCCATCTGGAAGACCAGTATCCTAACCCGACGATCCATGTTTGTAAAGCACCTGGCACACAGTAGGAGGTCAACCAATGCTAGAGCCCCCTGCTCCCCTTCGTTCAGAAGTCTGTGCCCAGCCCCTGATTGTCCCAGGCCTGGATGCCCAGCACAGGCACCATCCTCGGAGGGCTTGAGGCAAACACACTAGAAGGGCCCGTGGGTGACTGCCTCTAAGTCGTCTGAGAACTTGTCGCAGCACTTGGCCTCTCAGCTAGAAAAGAGGGGCTTTGGTGGATTTTAGGGGCAAGGGCAATGCTCATGTCATAGCCTGAGCTGTTTGATGACCTGTCCTTGGCCCAAGAGGGCTAGGCCTGGAGCCCCACCCAGGGCTCCCTCCAACCCTTCAGCCTCGGGGCCTGTCTGGTGTGCCGTCTTCCTAAGGATTCACCAGGTGCCTCGGCAAAAAGCCTGGGAGCCATACTGGGTCCTGGGAAGCAGAAGGCTACTTGGTCAGGCTGGACACCAGCAATGCATTACCCAGAATTCCCGGTCCCTGGCGTCCAGTCCCCCTGGACCTGCCTCATCCCCTTAGGCAGGCGTTTCCTGTTGATAAGAAGCTCAGTCACAAACACTGATAAAGAGATGAAAAAAGGAAATTGACGGGCTTGGGGTATAATGGGCATTTTGTCTGCCTTGACTACCCTCTTCCTTCTCCCAGCTCCCCTCCCCCACTGCTTCCCAGAAGCCAGGAGAAAACATGTCCCCCACCTCCTCTTGAGCCCTACTTTGTAGCTTCCAGGAATTTAGCCTCACACAGTCCTTAGAAGTAGGGCCCAGGTGGGGGAGGGCGAGTTAGGAGCTCAGAGGCAGGAAGCCCTGGGCGCTAGGAGGCCACCAAGCCCAGGGGAAAGGGCTGGGGCAAGAGGAAGGAAGAATGGTCAGGCACAGGTTTCACCTACCACTTTCCGTCTCCCCTCCCTCTCTCTCCCCCAGAGACCTGGGTCCAAGTCGTGGTTAGGTGGTTGCAGTCTATAATTAGTGAATTTTCCATAATTTTAGTCTCAGGCTCATTACGGGAAAATCTCATTAATTTCGACTCTACTCATTTGGATCTATGATCCTTCAGGACAAGAACTGGACTGATGTTTAGAAAAATAAAGAAAATAAACAAGTTTGTGAAGCATGTCCGGCTTTCCTTCTTGGGTTTGGACTTGTAAGCTCAGCTCCAGAGTTCTCAAGCGCTCGGCCTGCAGTTACAATAACCTGCCACCGGGTGTGTGATGAGGCTTCGCCGGACACTTGTGCTGCAGGTACAGTAGTCATTGCTCACGGAGAGGTTCTTTAAAGGCTTATATCTGATACTCCTTTTTCCCTCTTCCCCCAAATTAGTCCCTCAATACAACAGTTTTGCACACAGAAAGAAGTGGGATAGATGGTTCTAAATGGCCATTGTTTAAAAGGAAACCAGTAGCCCTATACAAGTTGGAGACTTTCTCCTGAATTCGTGTTTTTTTTTTAAATATATTTTATTGATTTTTCACAGAGAGGAAGGGAGAGGGATAGAGAGTTAGAAACATCGATGAGAGAGAAACATCGATCAGCTGCCTTCTGCACACCTCCTACTGGGGATGTGCCCGCAACCAAGGTACATGCCCTTGACCAGAATCGAACCTGGGACCCTTCAGTCCGCAGGCCGTTGCTCTATCCACTGAGCCAAACCAGTTAGGGCCTGAATTCGTTTTTTATATATAAACTAGAGGCCTGGTGCCCGGATTTGTGCACTGGCGGGGTCCCTGGGCCTGGCCTTCGGACATCCCCCAAGGGGTCCCCGATTGCGAGAGGGCACAGGCCAGGCTGAGGGACCCCACTGGTGCACGATCGGGCCAGGGAAGGATCGCAGGAGGGTTTCAGGACGTGTCTGGTCTGTCTTGCCCAGTCCCCATTGGCCGGACCCCAGCTGCAAGCTAACCTACCGGTTGGAGCGTTTGCCCCCTGGTGGTCAGTGCGCATCATAGTGACTGGTCAAATGGTTGAACAAACGGTTGGACACTTAGCATATTAGGCTTTTATTATATAGGATTTTTGTTGAATTTTTACAGAGAGGAAGGGAGAGGGATAGAGAGTTAGAAACATCAATGAGAAACACCAACCAGCTGCTTCATGCACGCCCCCTACTGGGGATCGAGCCCAAAAGCAAGGTACATGCCCTTGACAGGAATAGAACCCAGGACCCTTCAGGCCACGGGCCGACGCTCTATCCACTGAGCCAAACTGTCAGGGCATGAACTCTTCACTGTTCTCAGTCCTGGTTACCACCTGACTGGGCTTTCTCCTGGCTTCAGGCCCTCATCTCTGCCATTGCGCTACTGATACCTGATGGAAGGAGCCGAGTGGTGAAGAGACAAAGGTTTCGTCCTAGTCAAGGTTCCAGGCGAGGTTTTTGGTGGGGTTTTTTTTTTTTTAGTAATTCAATAAATTTGTTCTAAATGTTATATAGAGGAATATAAATTCATGAGGAGCTAAGCCATTTTTTCCTTATTTTAGGTTACTTTTTGAATAAGTTATACACTCTCATGATTCAAAAATAAATGACTCAAAGGCAGACAATGAAACCCCTTCCTCCCAGCCTTGTCTCCCATCTGCCCAGGTTCCCTAACCCCCCAAACACCATTAGTCTTAGTTTCTTATGTTCCTGTCCCTTCAGACTGTCTTTATGTGTATATAAGTGAATTTGAATAGGGAGCCTTGTCCCTCCCACCTTTTATATACAAGTAGCCTATTCTATACACTATTCTACACCTTACATTGTTCACTTAATAATGTATCTTGAAGATCTTTCCATATCAGCAGATAGAACGTTCTTTCTTTTAAACAACAACATAGTATTCTACTTGATGTACCATAATTAAACCAGTCTCCTGTTTTGGGAAGTTTTTAATTTAGAAATAATGCTGCAGTGACTAAAATTGTATGTACATAGTTCTGCTTAGTTC